GGGGGGGGGCAGAAAATGTACTCTATAAAAAAGGGGGGGGGGGGGGGGGTGGACGGGAAGAAGGAAGACAATATTTTTTTATTTTTTGTTTTTCTGGTTTTGTTTTTATTTATTTTTTGGTTTTTTAAAGATTAATTTATATTTAATATACAATATGTAAGTCAATGGACGAATATATCCCTACGAATGTCACGTGCAAGGCACATGTTTTAACTTTCCGGACAAAATTACCGGAAAATTGAGTTTAGGGGGCACCGTGCAACGAATTAATGAGTTCAGGTAAAAACGTGCAAATTTTTTTTGTTTGGGGGTAAAGTGCAAATCGGCCCATAGTTTAGGGGGCAAACTGTTTTTTACTCTAAAACAAGTGATAAACAAGATTTACCTCCATTGAAGCCAATCCGAAAAATCCTAAACGGTCTTTGCAAGTTATTGGAAAAACTTAAAAATAAGACTGAAATAAATAAAAAATATTAGCAACTCTTATTATTGGAAACAGATTACATTCTCAAATCTCAGTGATAAATTTCAGCAATTGGATTTCGGTGGGTATTTTGGATTTGATTCCTATTTTACTTATTGCCACCGCCACCATTTAATTCCTTTTATTTTGCAAAAATAATCTTATACTGTCATAACTTGTATATGGAGTCATAGCATTAAAATAATAAATATATTATATAATGACTAACCGAATCAGTCGGGCCTTATTCGGGTTAAGCCATAGTAGGCTCAAACTCGACTCATAAATAAATTGGGGTTAGAAATGGCTTAAACTCTGTCCGGTTCACTAAAACATAGGCTCGGCTCAAATATACTCAGGCCCAGCTATCGGGCTTCGGTTAAGCCTGACTCAATTGCCGGTCCTAGTTATAATACACTGACATTGATCATTAGGTATGGTTAGATGTACAATTATTTACATCTATTACATCTAATAGTCTAGCGTTGTGACAATCATTTATGTGTCATTTAGTTGCATTTTAGCTTTTATTCCATTTGGGAGCCGATTCATGCATTTTGTATATTTTACAAGTTTTTGTGTCACTATAGTAGATAAATGAAATACAAGGCTAAACAAGGAGTAATAGGATCGAGATGAAGAATATGAGAACGAGAGACAAGAGATCGAAACTTGGAGAAAAAGCAAAGGTCGAAATATGCAAAAGTGGCGACCGCCGAATGATCGGTGAGATGGATGTCACCAACTGATTGATGCGAATGAAATTCATATAAAAATGTAAGTTAGGGTTTTATTTCGGAAGAGAGAAATTAAGAACACAACTACAGGCCCATAAAACGGCCAAGAACCCTAAATCAGAGATATACGAATGAGCTAGACTCACCTTGGAGGCAAGTGTGTTAGAAAACACGCAAACTCTAGCCGTATAGTGTATTTAGCACACAGAGACGCCCATAATATTCGTTTGTGGCTACCCATACCCAGACCTTTCCCATGTGGACAATTGTTGTCAAACCCAGGTTAACAATCTCCCCCACAGCAATTGCTCCAGCTTATGGTAATCAAACACGCTCTGATACCACTTGTTGGACCTCTGGTGCTACCAATTGTGTGAAAATTAATTTGTATTAGAAAAAAAACGTCAACCCTAACCTTATGGTGCATCAACACACACAAGCGCACACGGTATTCGATTGTGGTCCAATCATACTCGAACCTCCACCACGTCGACAATTGATGTCAAACACAGTCTAACACATAGACTTGATCATTCAATAACTTTTGAATCTGTATCGGTTAATTAACGCCAAATCGATAGAAAGTGGACTGTAAACAAGAGTGATTTAGATTTAGACGCACACCCATTGAATCTAAGTTTTTGTGTGGGGCTAATGTGTATTACATTGTCGATAGGTGTGATTGAATGTTATGCAATCTTCGTTGATAATAATATTGAACTAGAATTGCAGAACAATACGACCGTTGAGTGTGACAATATTGTGTTCCGGCTAATAAATCAAATCAAAAAATGAATAAGTAAAGATCATGGGATGAACTGAAACATAAGGTAATATAAGATCCATGTACTTAAATAATTGTTTTTTTCATTTTTAAAATGTTATCACGGACATTGCACATAAAGTAATATTAGTTTTTCTTTTTTTTTTTTTTATCCGTAATATTCGTTATATAGTTTTTTGAGAAAAATAGCAATGTTGTCACAACCGAACTAGCTATGGAACCGGACGACCATTTGGATCATAGTTTTATAGGGTCGAACCGGTTCAATCGGGTTTTTGATTTTTTTTTTAATATGTTATTATTTTATTAATTTTAATATTTTAAAAATATTATTTTCTTTACATTTTTAATCTTCCACCTATTATTTTCAATTTTATCAATCTCACACCACTTTTTACTATATTTCTTTTGCTTATACTCTATATTTTTTCATTCTTTATTCTTCTAATGCGGCAATTGACCACCGCTATTCGGTCACCCATGACCGAATCCGGCAATTCTTCGACCACTCATGACTAGATCCGGTCACCCATCACTAAGTCCGTAAAGATTCGCTCAAATCTAGTCATAAATAACCAACTTAGCGGTGGTTTGAGATGTTTTGGCCGAAAACCGAGTTTCTTGACTGACTCGCCGGTTCTTGGGTTTACCCTGTCGAACCGGATTTTGGTATTTGACCCCGGTTTTCAATTTTTTCGGTTTTAGAGGTCAGACCGGACGGCTTCGAGGCCGGGTCACGGTGGGACCGGTCCGACCGGCCGATTCGATCCGGTTCTAACAACATTGAAAAATAGTAAGAATATAAGTTACTAGCTCAAATATATAGTAAACTTAAATTTTCAAACGGTTGTCGTTTAGATTTCTTGTTGCTACTTCAAATTGCCATACGGTATATATATATATATATATATATATATATATATATATATATATATATATATATATATATATATATATATATATATATATATATATATATATATATATATATATATATATATATATATATATATAGTGAAACCGACAATATATATGTAATAAATATTAGGGTTATATACAAATTGCATCCCTAGACTATCACCGGACAATGTCGCATATACCCTATGTAGGCATGTATTACAAAATGCGACAAAATGGCCCATCAATTTAACGGTCAACTGTCAATCTCTTACACTGTTAGTTTATATAGCGTAGTTACATTTTTACCCTTACATTTATATGATATATGTAAAGGGTAATTGGCACTTTGCACCATTGAATTACATGTCATTGGCACTTTGCACCCTTAAATTGGAAAAATGGCAGAATGCACCCTCTAATTACAATTTCTTTGGCACTTTGCACCCTAGTTCATATTTTGCCTAAAAAATGACCGGTAACCTGTTATGTGGGATTTGAAGAGTGAAATAATTTATGGTCCCGAATTCGTTTAATACAGAGGTGTTATCTTAAGTGTTATGACAC